GATTTTGGGGCCTAGTTGGAAGGACCGAAAACCATGCCGTGGCATGGCGCTGGAAATAGTGACGCCAGCGCTGCAGTGGGAGCTCGATTCGGAACGAGCGGACGTGCGGAAATGAGGCCAGCGCTGCAGCAGGAGCACGATTCGGAGGACGCGTAGCCTGACATCGTGGCGACGCCCCAAAGTGTGGGGGGGTCTTTGCGACCCCAAAAATCAACGAAGCGACACCGAATGTGTGATTATCCCAGTGCGACCCTACCTAGGAGTTGGAACCCCTAGGAAAGCAGCATTAGTAGTAACAGTAACGCTAAGCTAAAGCAAAGCTAAGGCTAAGCTAAAGCTAAGCTAAAGCTAAGCCACAGCTAAGCTAAAGTTAAGCTAAAGCTAAGCTAAAGCTAAGCTAAAGCTAAGCTAAAGCTAAGCTAAAGCTAAGCTAAAGCAAAGTTAAAGCTAAGCTAAAGCTAAGCTAAAGCTAAGCTAAAGCTAAGCTACAGCTAGGCTTAAGCTAAGCTAAAGCTAAGCTAAAGCCAAGCTAAAGCTAAGCTAAAGCTAAGCTAAACGCTAAGCGAAAAGCTAAGCGAAACGCTAAGCTAAAGCTAAGCTACAGCTAAGCTAAAGCTAAGCTAAAGCTAAGCTAAAGCTAAAGCTAAAGCTAAAGCTAAAGCTAAAGATAAAGCTAAAGCTCCCAGGGGACTGGGGGGAACCGCGGGGCGGGGACTGGGGGAACCGCCTGGGGCGTGTAGCACTGCCCGGCCCCCCTTAAGCTAAGAGAGTAAGAACCCTTCTAGGCAGAGCCTAGGTAGGGAATTACTTCCGATTGTTTTTTTCGGGGGGGGTGGCATTTTCTAGATTTTGGGGCTGAGTTGGAAGGACCGAAAACCATACCGTGGCATGGCGCTGGAAATGATGACGCCAGCGCCGCAGTGGGAGCACGATTCGGAACGAGCGGAAGCGCGGAAATGAGGCCAGCGCTGCAGCAGAAGCACGATTCGGAACGAGCGGTGCCCCGAAAATAAGGTCAGCGCTTCAGCGAGAGCAGCATTTTGAAAACACCCAAGCGAAAATCCAACTCCCGGAAATCCGGTGTAAAAGACAGTACGCGGAGGGGGGCCGAGTAGTTCCCAGACGTCACCAGGGGAGAGAGGAGAGTAGTAATTTTCATATTGTGTAATTGTGGAGGAGGATGAGGATGATGAGGCGGACGATTAGGAGGAGGAGGCGGATGATGATGATGATGATGATGATGATGATGATGATGATGATGATGATGATGATGATGCTGATGTTGATGATGATGATGACGATGATGATGCTGCTGATGATGATGATGATGATGATGAGGATGCTGATGATGCTGATGATGCTGATGATGATGATGATGTTGCTGATGATGATGTTGATGCTGATTCTGATGCTGATGCTGCTGCTGATGATGATTATGATGATGCTGATGCTACTGATGATGATGCTGCTGATGATGATGATGATGCTGATGCTGATGCTGATGCTGATGCTGATGCTGATGCTGCTGATGATGATGATGATGATGATGATGATGATGATGATGATGATGATGATGATGATGATGATGATGATGATGATGGATGATGATGATGATGATGATGATGATGATGATGATGATGATGATGATGAGATGATGATGATGAGATGATGATGGAAGGAGGAGGAGAGGAGGGAGGAGGAGGAGGAGGAGGAGGAGGAGAGGAAGAGGAGGAGGAGGAGGAGGAGGAGGCTGAGGAGGAGGAGGAGGAGGAGGATGGAGGAGGAGGAGGAGGAAGAGGAAGAGGAGGAGGAGGATGAGGAGGAGGAAGAGGAGGAGACGGAAGAGGAAGATGAGGATGAGGAGGAGGAGGATGATGATGAGGAGGAGGAGGAAGATGAGGAGTTGGAGTAGGAGGAGGAGGAGGAGGAGGAGGATTGGGGGGAGGAGCGTGGTCTGGTCTGCTCGTCGCCCTAGTATTTTTGCGCGATGGGCTTCGAGCGCGGAGGATGGTGATCGAAAGCTGAGTGCGTGACCACTGGTCTTTGGCCCGCTGGCTGCCCAGGGACGTGGTGGGAGTGGGGCTTCGGACGTACTCGCACGAGTGCCAGCATCGTTTTTCCGTAAGGGCTTCGCCCCCTGCCGCAGGCCTCTTTTTATCATAATGGGATATATCAGAGTGGCGTCGGTGCTGTCGGCGCTGCCTTGGCGCATGTGGGAACATCATGCGGGGGCGGATAGGAATCATCAGCGCATATTGGGACGCTGGCGTTCTCCGCGTGGCTTTCGGCTCATCACGCTACCGTGCCTGGGTTGTATGTCCGAGGTCCCTTGTATAGGTGTTGGGGTGTCGTGGGGAGCCTCTCGGGGGCCTCTTGGAGGCGGTTTGGGCGCTTCTTGGGGGCCTCTTGGGGCCTCGTGGGGGATGGCCGCTTGGAGGCCTCTTGGGCGCGTCTTGGGCGCCTCTTGAGGCCTCTTGGGGCCTCTTGGCGGCCTCTTGGCGGCCTCTAGGGGCCTCCTGGGGGCTTTCGGGGCACAGATCAGAGTGAGGGGGCCGAACGGTCATTCATTGTCCCTGCGTGCGTGGCTGAATAGGGAATGCGTGGTGAGAATTCTGTTTGTTGCGTTGTTGTTGTCGCTGAAGCTACTGCTGCTGCTGCTGCTGCTGCTGCTGCTGCTGTTGTTGTTGTTGTTGTTGTTGTTGTTGTTGTTGTTGTTGTTGTTGTTGTTGTTGTTGTTGTTGTTGTTGTTGTTGAACATTATTACTTCTAAAGAATAATTATTGTTGGGGCCCCTGGTGCACGACCCCCCCGCCGCGCCTAGGCCGCAGCCTCATTTTCATCATTTTCGTGAGGAAGTCTCAGGCAAAACGGGTTGGTCCGGATCCGGTTGTGTTGTTACGATCGGTTTTCCCTTGCAAAAAAATAAGCTAAAGTGGACATTTCTTGTTCTAACATAACCAAACTTCAAGAATCCCTTGCAAAAAATAAGGTAAAGTGGACATTCGCGCGCGCAAGACGAAATCCTTCCAAAACCTTAGTTTTCGTAGCGATTTTAACATAAAAACATCAAAACAACCAATGGTTTTTCAAAAAAAATGTCAAACATTTCATCCCGCGCGCTCTTGCGGATTCGTAGGAAACCCAACACTTTTTAAACATTTCTGTCAAACGGGCTTTTGCGAGCAACTTTTTCGAACTTCTGCAACAACGGTTGCGCACCTGCCAGGGCCATCATCCCTGTCAAATAATACCATGCGGGACACATTCGTTTTTTCTTCGCGCGCGCACGCCGTCGTCGTCGGCCGCGGGGCCCTGAATAGTAGCCACGGTCGTCCGCATGCCACGAAGTGAAGTGTCCGAACGTCATAGGGCGGGAAGCTGGGTGTGGGTGGTGGCGAAGAGTCGTTTGGAAATTTGGTAGAGCTTGAACCGGCCCCCCCACAAAGTGGGGGTATTGCCCGCCTCCTATGAAAACCCTGGCACTGGTGAGAACGGAGTGTCCCCACGTGCTAGTAATTGTTGTTGTTGTTGTTGTTGTTGATCCCCCCCCACCGGTGCATACGGTTTTTTCTCAATCAAAGTGTGTCCCTCGACGCTCGAACACTGTTTTTTGATAGGGAAAGTCTTGATGCTCAAACTGGGCCCCTGGCCCCTGGGTTACAACAACAACGGCTCCCGCTTGAGACTTCCTTATAATTTAGCCAGGACCCCCGCTCCCGCCCGAGACTTCCTCGCATTTTATTCAGGAATCGCGCTCTCGCTTGGGACTTCCTTACAATTTATTCAGGAATATCTCTCCCGGCGCTCTGGAGTCGCGCTCTCGCTGGAGACTTGCTTGCAACCTTCTGAAGAATGGCCTTGCGTTGGAATTTCCTGCAATTTGCCCAAGCGCCGCGCTCTCGACACCCAGGCACCCAGGAGTCGCGCCCGTTGTGGCCCCATGTGCATGCCCTTCGTGGCCCCGCTGTCGCCATGTGTGTCCCCCTCACTGTCCTACGTGGCCCAATTGCTATGTGGCCCCATAGTTGCCTTCTGTGGCCCCGCATTATCTGCACTTCGTGGCCCCCGCTCGTTCGCGCTCTTCGTGGCCCCATACGCATTCCCTTCGTGTCCCCGCTGTCGCCCTTCGTGGCCTACTTCGTGCCCTTCGTGGCCCTGCTGTCGTTCTCTCTCGCTCTCGCTTTCGCTTGTCGTCGCCGTCGTCGTCGTCGTCGCCGTCGTCTTCGACGTCGTCGTCGTCGTCGTCGTCGTCGTCGTCGTCGTCGTCGTCGTCGTGGTCGGTCCCCTGTCCGTCCCTCTTGGGGTCGGGTCGACGGTCCGCGGCCGCCCCGCCGATCAGCGCTGCCGCTGGCCAGGCCGACGGTCCGCGGCCGCCCCGCCGCTTGCCAGGGCCCGGCCTGCAGGGAAGAAAGGTATACCCCCCAAAAGGGGTTCGATCGAAGACGAAGAGGACAGGTATCGAAGGTTTTGGAAATACGCCTTATTGGACACTCGAGCATCTAAAGGCGAACGGTCTTAAAATTATCATGATTATTATTGATGTTATTGTTGTTGTTGTTGTTGTTGTTGTTGTTGTTGTTGTTGTTGTTGTGGTTGTTGTTGTTGTTGTTGTTCTTGTTCTTGTTATTGTTATTCTTG